ACAGCCGGAGAGAATGGGAGTGGGCACAATAAGGAAGGGTTTTGCATCGGCGACACCGGGAGACAACTGTGTGGTACACAGCACAGGAGAACATGGAGTGGTGCTGACGGATCTGATTCCCGTCGTACTATCCGGTGGAGCTGGTGAAATGAGCACTGAAGGTATTGCTGGTGGTGATCTGGAGAAAGTGAAGTGATGGTGAATGAAGTCAGAGGGTTTCGTTCACACCATTTTTAGTCAAGTGACAAGACAAGAAAAAGATCTTAAAAAGCAGAATACTGGAACAGATGAAACAGCTCGCATGCTTTAAAATCATGGTTTGCAATCTTCTGCCAAACAGTGGTGTGGTGGTGATTTGAGGCGCGTTTAACGATAAGCATCGGTTCGTAAGGTCGGAGAGCAACTGCCGCCACTCGAAAATGACGGTTGACAGCAAAGCGTGGCTATTGCAAGGAACAGGTTGTCGATCGCTACAATCCAGCATAGACTTGGAACTGCAAAATAGCATATCTATTACAAACAAAAGATTCGTCAAATAAGAAGGATCTCGCTATTTCATCAGGTATCATTGAAGGACATCCGAAACAAAGTTATCTCCTTCATAAAAAAACAGCTGTCAAAATACACAAACGATCAGGCTAAGCAAAGCTTACTGATTCCTTTCCGAAGACGGTTTTTCCAAAGAACTAGACGAGCGTTGAGAATCTTCATGGACGTTATTCCTCTGGTCCGATTCCATAGTTGCACCGGATGAGACAGCTGGAAGTGAGTACGAACGCTGACAGTGCGGAGCGCTGGGGATCGAGGTCACTACGTGCGGTGGGGCTGCAGTAGTAGTGGTCGCGCGAGCACTACAGTTAGCCGGATTCAACTTAGAACTGATGACCAACGAAGATGAACTGGTGGTGGCAGGACAGGATGCGGAGATGGTGGTGGTGGCCGAACTGACGGGTTCGGAAACTGTCTGTGACGACGCGGAAGGGTTATTCGCGGAGTTTGACTCTGATCCTGTTGCTTCCGTTGTTGAAGCAGGGGATGGGAAGAAGTCTGGATTGTGGACAAAAACCCGGGGTCGAAAGAGGAGATCAAAACGTGAATTATACAAGTGTGATCACATTGAACAATGCATATATATATATATACGTATGCTTCTGAAGAAAAAGTGTGTCAGAGGACAACTAGGTGTTGGTGTATTCCTAAATCTGACACGAGTAATGATTAAAAACAAAAAAACATCAGTAGACAAAAGCAAGCAAAGTTACCTGAACAAGCCAAACAAGCGTCAGGCTTTTCCCGAAAGTTCTCTGGGTTGGGCAGACGACATTGTGCTATTAAGTGAAGATCCAGGTAAGTTGCAAGCTTTTCTGGATATGTTGAATGTCAGTGTAGCCATATTCGGTATGCGTTTTGCACCTTCAAAGTGTAAAATGTTACTACAAGACTGGGTTGGTCCAGCACACAGCCTCACTCTAACTGGGGAAGTAATAGAGCAGGTGGATAAGTTTTGTTATCTGGGCAGTTACATCTCACCCGGTGGACGCATCACGGATGAAGTGTCAGCTCGCATACAGAAGGCTCGGTTG